GTGGGATGTATGCACATGGCCAGCTACATGTGTTGCTGGGAATGTGGAAATTCTGAAGTAGCGGATACTTCTACCCAAAATCGTCTGGATTTTCAAAATGTAGTGAGGAAATTTGCTAGCTGAGTTGAGGAAACCAAACACATACTCCCACACTGGTCGTGATCTCTTGAGCGAGCGATTATATCGCTACTGTATGATAGCATCGATAAATACTCATGCCTTAAATAAAACGATTGCATCGCTATCATTGCAGTTGTACTTTTTAACCACAGTTCACTTCCAAGTGATGGTAGCATTGACTTCAACTCACCCTTGACTGTAGTCCAACCCTCCTCGTGCCTCTCCACCTGGCATCCCATCGGTTTCAGAATCTTCGACACAAAAAGTGTCTCCCCTTGCACAGGCCGACTCCCCAAACTCTGGTACGGCAAATTCACAGTAATCTCGCAACCTGACCGCAAGCCTCTCATATAGGCAGACCCCTAGACGCCCTTCACACCCACCGGTAGCAGCAGCAATGGCCAGAGGGTAACTCGCGGCTGAGGCGTCAGCCTCCACCCTATACGTGCCTATCAAAGATCCCCTACACAGCGTGGAAATATATGATCGATTTCCTCAACTGAGCTCGTGAATTTCCTTACTACTTTATAAAGATCCACACGATATTTTGGCTAGAACTGTATAATAGCCAAAGAAAATTCCCAAAAATTTCCCCACAATTTCCATATTTTCACCAACACATCTAGTTGACCATATGCATATCTTTCCACACCGCTTACCAGGTGCCACCAGCTTCTGGCCAGCAGCTACCTTATAGTAGAGACGACCATCCGAGTCAGTCTCTGGGAGTGCCTTAACCCCAAACTCCTCCATCACTCGACATGTCATGTCTATATAGGGCTGCGACACTGCCTGACGACGGCAACAGTAATAAGGAGATTCCACTGCGTATTAACATTTCATGTTTATAACCACATAGGGCCATATATATAGATTGGAGTTCCACCCGTGATATGAAAAACACTAGTAAGAACACATTTCACTTCCGCGAAAAAACACATGTGAGCAGTGGATAACGCGAAAAACACGTGCAGTGCCGTGAAAACTTCACGTGAAACGGGATGGCGTTTCTGGTGTGATTTGCGAAGCATTTTCAATTCACTTAACATATCGCGAATATCGCGTTCTTCACAAAGTGTATTACGTCACTTCACGTGAAACGGGAGTGAAACTCCATTATTATCACCGTTATATCTCATTGTTGAATATTTATCATTTTTACCATAATCCCTGTATGCCACTATAATGTCAATGATATATACAACGGAGGTTCACCCGTATCACATGAAGTGGCGTAAAACTCGGTGAAAAACGCGATATTCGCGGCCTGCAGTAGTCGTGAAGTATGTTTTTCACTAGTGTTTTTCATATCACTAGGGTGGTGAAACTCCACTATCGTAATAAGGAAAAAATAGACCCACCTTGCCCCCGCGAGTGTCCTCCAACCGCAGAGTAAACCCCTCCTCCTCCCCTCCCCTAGCCAAACTTGACACCAACAGCATTCCCGACACGAACTGGGATGAGACCTGAGTTACATTCACATTAAGATGGAGTTTCATATTGCGTTTTCGTAGTTTTTTAGTTTCACATTGAGTTTTCACATGGGATGTTACATATTAAGATGAAGTTACGGAACTCGAGCTGTTGATGTGATTTCGAGTATTTTTATACTAAAAAATATATGCATAATACCAATATGTCTGCATACTTTGGCAGAATAATAAACTACGCTCTTCCCAAATAGTATGTATATCTCATCGATAAACAGAGTTACGTTACGGCTCACTCTTACAGTTACGAGTCAAGCCCCGTACCGTGAAATCACGGCGCCGTAACGGGTTGCAAAACGAGGATTGATCATTCAAGTCGCTAAATCTATTTCATGTGAATGCGAATCCGTAGATGAGGCCAGCCTGGGAGTAAAACGGACGGAATTTGCAAAGGAGACGAGTGGTAAATGCAAAACCGAATAATACTCTCTCAACGGTTCGGTTGAATCCGAGCCACACAAAAAATGAGTTTAACAACTATTTGAGCTAACGTGGAGTGCATTACAACAAATCTTTCGCCAAAATTCTAAAAAAGCAGTTCAGCATCAACCGTAGAGTCGTAAGGCCTTTCCGTAACCCGTAAACTGCTAACGTTACGCACACCGTAAGGTGAACTGTAAAAAGGCGTTACGCTGCCCATCTATACTATATCTCTGGTACAATTTTTCTGAGAAATTATTTCAACGAACTAACAGGCCCACAGCAAATACGCCTCATATAATTTCCTCGATAATAACCTCACCTTGCTGGACAGATCTACCGTCCCACAGGGGAAACCAGAGGAGGTCTGAGAGCCTTCCGAGGCATCAGCAACAGACCTCTTCCGAGCCTTGGTGATCTTCAAGGGCAAACAACCTAACACATGTTACTATGGTGAAGACCTCTGCCAAGGAGGCCGCCGCTACCTTGTGTCGGACCAACATAGTCAACCCTGACCCCTTTGAAAGCTCGTTGCATGCAGTTCACCAAGTCTTCAACTGGCCGAACCTAACCAGAATATAAAACGACACATAGTTACTTCCTATTAAAGAATGTTGCTAATATCGACTAAGTAGACTTCAACTTACTCATATGCAAATACTAAATAAGGATATATTATCAGACACTTCAATATTGTTAATAAGGACTGTTAATAAGGACGTTGACAACCATTTTTATGTTGTTCACTACAAGTGTTTCCAATTCACTTCATACCGCGAATATCGCCTTTTCCACATAGAGTGTTACGCCGCTTCACATAAAACGCGTGAAACTCCAGTGTATTATACTGTATACTAAAAACAATTATACAATCATGTCTATATGCCCTGTTATTTACTGGTTAATCCATAATATATTATCTCTAAATACCACACTTGTTCGAACATCCCTCATCCCATAAGAAGTAACCCCTTACTCTCATCCTCTCATTGCCGTCCACCACTACTGCTGCTGACGGGTCCTTACAAGTAGCCACCAAATACCCCAACAACGGCGTGATAAACCTATCGTATAGCATCCCGAAATAGACTCACAAACACGTCCTACCTCGCAACAGTCCCAGCGTTTTCCACCCACACAGTGGTGACACCCGCCTTAGCCGTATCGTGCAATAACGTCAAGGAACCTCCAGGACATCTCAGCTCCACATTGAGACCAGACTCTGCAACAAAAGAAGACGGAATGGCCAGCAGTCGAGTCTCGGCCCACCTGGACCTTCCGAGAGGTACTTCACGTCTACTCCCAACTTGGACAAGGCAGCCAGCATCACCCTGATGTCCTCAGATGGGGTAAGGTTGAAGACCTTAAACTCATTCTATTTTACTCGAGACTATTTATTACTACACCATTTCGATTCACCGAATTTATGATAATTTTATCACTTTTTTTTCGGAAAAAAATAATTTCCACCGACCATGTTTCGACGATTTCTACTGTAAAAACATGCAAACTTCTATTAATAAAGTCATTTCTAGTAACACCATAGAGATGTACTATAGGCCACTTCGGACCTCATTCGAGCTAAGTGATAAAGACAATACCTATTTCGAGACCGCACCAAAAATTCCGCGTAATCATTGAACCACACCGACTCCTATCAATGACGTTCAGTGCGGAACATGGTCAACTACATGTGTTGATGAAAATCGCGGGAAAATTTTATTAGTTTCTATACGTTTCTACCCGAACTTCCATAATCTGTGATGAAACTTTCCAACTCAGCTGAGGAAAGCGAGCCTATATTCCCTCCAAGATGACGCTAATACGGAGTCACTGCATGCCAGTTCTCAACGACTCAAAGTGCTGGCATATATGTTCGGTTTTTTCAATTGAATTGAATCTCCACTAACTATACCAGTTTATACTCTTATTCGACTAGAACTGGTATAAAACCCAACAACGATCTCCCCGAATTTCCTCAGCATTTCCATATTCTCACCGACTCGCGTAGTTGATCATGTCTATCTTCCCTCACACTACAACAACTACTATCCCATCCCACGACCAGCCACTCACCCGACACTTTCCTCCAGGCTTTTCAGCCAGAGCTGCCAAGACCAGCGCCCTATTGGATATAGACTTCGAACCAGGGAGCTCCAAAACTCCACCACCCGATGGACCCAACTTCTGTCCAGACTTCACCAGCGCTGACCCCGAGATGGTCACCGCAGAAGACAAGACCTGAGACAACTCATTCATCAAGTTGAACCAGGAGTGGTATGAGACAAAAACTCCCTAACTTGGTTGTTTTAACCCGTGTAAAATCGTCCGATCATTTTTACCCGTTTGAGTATCCTATCAGGCACCGGCACCGTCCTACTGTCGCCCTCACACCTTCCTATGTCCCTCACATCAACAACATGTATCGCTCCGCCTGAACGGGGAACCACCAATAAGCGGTTATATCAAGTTCCGTTGGCCACCTCTATTTTTCTTATCGCGTTTCATACGCCTCATAAGCTCCTCTCGATTCTCCTCTGCACCAGGCGGCAGCACTGTGGGAAGATCACAGCACTTCAATACTTTCTCCAAACGTTGTACCTAGAGAGAATCTTAGGTTCATGCACGTAAGATACGGATTAGGTCCGACTCACGGCAACATTCGAAAGCTGCCCTTGAGCTCTCAGCGCCATGGCTTCGTAGACCATCCCAATCGATATACATTCCCCGTGATGTAGCCCCGTGACACCTGATAGAAACTCTATGTAGAAATACCAACAGAGAGACAAAAGAAAAGTAATAAAATATTCGAAATTAACTAAAAAGACAAAAAAGTAATGAAATTTTCGAAATAAAAAAGACTAAAAAAAGTAATAAAATATTCGAAATTCAATAAAGAGACTAAAGAAAAGAACTAAAACACCAGCAAGTAAATAAAAAGGCAAGAAAATTATGAGAAAAAAATTAATGATAAATAGACTATGAGATAAAATATTAAAAAATTGGATAACATAAACTCAATCATTTTTCCATGAAATGAATCCTCGCTTCTCGTCAACATCCAGAGGTCAACACGGTGAGTACACTCGCAACTCGGCATTGAAACTCCTCTTACCCATTCCCTCGATAGCATGGCCAACTGTATGCCCCCAGTTGAGCTCGTTTCGTAGGCCTTTGTCCCTCTCATCCTCCTCTACCACACTTCTTTTATAACTGTCAATAATAACATCACCACAATGATATTTCACGTCAAGTGGCGTAAAACGCGGTGAAAGGCAATAGTCGTAAAATATATATTTTTCACTAGTTTTTTCATATCACTAGGTTGGTGAAACTCCAGTGTTGCAATCAGCAACCTCACTTACTCAATTCCTGCAACAATCATATCCCTAAACTCATCATCATCTTGGACCAGCCCTTCAACGCCTTTGCTCGACAGTAGCGACTCGAGCTCCGCGAACAACTCCGGGCGAGCGCACATGCCAGCCTTGACGATCTCCGCAATACCAGAACGGACTTGGCGGACCTAATCTGAATCCATGCGCGGGGGCAGGTTATGAATCTTTGTACCGGTAGCGTATCAAGAAAGGCGATATCTGCCACCACGAGAATCGGTTGCCAGAAAGCACCTGAATAATCACAAACTACGTATATTGGTGAAATTTTCGGGAAATTTTCGGGAAATTCTTGACTAGTGAGGAAACTCCTGAGCTCAGGAAATCCAACATATATTCCAACACCATCGCAGTTCACCAACGGAAGAGATGCTCCCTCCAAAGCTCTATAAAAAAGAACTCGGATGAGGAAGGCCAAATCATAGGCTAGAGAACATAACAATATACAAAGTATAACAACAGAAATACCCTAGCGAATTCCATCTACATATATTTTTCGAGTAACGGGTCGTCGCAACAATTGCTTCTCATCCGTATATGCAGTAGAAGCTCTATAACGAGTAGATGCTCACCTATGAGGTTCTTGCCGAATTGTGTATCAACTGCAGTCTTGCCACCAACAGAGGAGTCTACCATGGACAACACTGTCGTTGGAACCTGCTCGTAAAAAAAGAAAATATAACAAAAATGTGAGAAAATATGCACATGGTCATGGAAATTTTTTTGAGAAAATTTTGGGAAATTCGAATTTTGGTTTCTGTATATAAATTCTCACATATAATGAGAAAATTCTTGAGAAAAAAGAGACGGAGTCACCTGAATGAATCTAATTCCTCTATAATAAGATGCTGCAACAAAACCGATGAGATCTCCTATAACACCGCCACCGAGGGCAACCAGGACCTGACATAAAACCATCGTGCTGATCCAGTGTGGGGGGAAATATGCACATGGTCAACTACATGTGTTGGTGATAGTATGAAAATTCCAAGAGGAAATTTTGGGGAAATTCTTATTGGTTTCTGTACACTCCTGAGGAGGGCGACCACATATCTCAACACTGCTTACCGCGCGACGATCAGCGCCTTTCCGTGATAAGAGATCTTCAATTTCGGCCTTCTGGTCTCGACATTTCGAAGCCTGCAAGACAGCACCTCGATGAGAGATGACGAATGGCAATGTTGTCCCCACCTCGCCACTGTGAATACACATAAGGTTCACATTATCACCGCCTACTATGGAAGCTAGAGCAACCTCGATGCTGGTCACCTACAACAGATGAAAAGAAAGATAATGGAGTTTCACCAGTTTTACGTGAAGTGGCGATATTCGCGGTAATATGCAGTAGTCGTGAAATATATTTTTCACCAGTGTTTTTCATATCATTAGGGTGTAAATCCATTATACCATGTATGGATAAAACATTGAGAAAAAATAGCATTGGAGTTTCACCCTAGTGATATGAAAATATATTTCACGACGAATGCATATCACCGCGGAATATTTCGCGTTTTCACAGAGTATTACGATGCCACTCCACGTAATACCGGTCGTGAAACTCTAATATAAAAACACAAAAACATACACATATGAAAATACGATATACATTCTCATGAAAAAGATCAATAAAAATACCACTATACCAAAAATAGAGCTAATTTTCAAACTAGATGGCGCTTCAAAATGCCCTCGGGCGATCGGTAAACCGCGGAGACTCTTATGATACGATCGGACGATCTATTCTCGGCAAGTAGAGTAGGATAGCAACAACATCCAGCAGTGTGGGAAGGAGATATGCACATGGTCACTTACATGTGTTGGTGGAAATATGAAAATTCTAAGGAAATTTTGGGAAACTATTTTTTCTACACTTCTAGTGAGGAAACTGACGAGCTCAGTTGAGGGAAGCAAGCATATTTTCTCGCACTAGAATTCACAGAGATAGTTTCGTAGAAGTGGAACAGCTCGAGTTTAGAAAGGATACTTACCAAAGCACTGTTGAGGCCCAGCAAATTAGCATCAACGAAAACGAAGAATTTAGTGACACGCTGCTTTTCCTCCTGAAAAAACACATCTGCATAAACAAGTGATATTTGTTTTCTTACTGTGCAAACTTCCGAGACAAGTTCCTTGAATAACGGTGAAGTGCATATGCCTCGACCAACGACTACATCGTATCTTCACACAAGTGCCTTTTCTGTTCCGACCGGTTTGCCGTCATCACTCACCTCCCACCCTTGGTATTCACTTTAACAGTACGCAGTGGAACTCCTTCACGAGTTGACGCAACTACTGACGACGACATGAAGTAAAACTGACGAAAAAAATTGCAAACAGTTGAGTTCCAGAATCTCCAAGTGAGCTTCTATTAGAGCTATGAAACCTTCCAACAGAGTGGTAGTTGTCGAACACCGCACGAAGTGACCCCTGTAATGCAGGAGCTCCGCACAAGCTTGTGCTGATGCTAACACCCAAGTTCGATCCTTGGCAGGGGCATTTTAACATCTCATTACTCGCCAACTCAAGTTCAAGCCATTTTAGAAACACCACTATAATCCTTATCACTCCAACAGGTAGTGCCTTCGAACCACACCCTCTTTCGATCGGCCAACAGGAAGAAAGAACTCCCATCATGTCATCAACTTCCTCAAAGGGAACAGGGCTTCATCATAGTTCTAATATTCCGACTATTACACATGAGCAAGAGTGAGATCAACTGTATTAGTTTCTATTACAGCAAACTGGAAAGGGAATATGTTTTCATTCCCTCATATTTTCGACATCAAAATGCATTCGGAAGGCTTTGCTCGGAAAGCTTTCCCATGACACTTCTGCGAAATTCTCACGCGCCACGAAATTGTCCTTTGCCGCATCATCCACATATTCACTGAAGTACAGTATCACGAGAACAAACAACGTATTCCTACGAGAGCGCGAGCCCTGTATTAGAGGATCCTACAGCATTACCATCTCCACCAATGCTCAAACCTGGCTCCTTCCATAACATACGAGCCCACCTCAGTCACTACCGAAGCGGTCCCGTCATCCCTCGCGATTGCGATGATCTGGCAATAGCCTCCCTGGTGCAATCTTCCGGTTTGCTACCTTGACGATGGTACTCACTACTACTACTACTACTACTACTACTACTACTACTATACTACTATTACGTGTATAGATACTACAGATGTAGATGAACTGCCGACCCTGCATATCTAGAGGAACATGACACTGTGGTGAGAAGGGATACACTATCAGCCGAGTCTTCGTAGTGCTATATGCGGAGACCTCGCCCAGAGGTCATCTGCCCCGACGCTACTGTGGGCTAGAGCTCGACCCCCGACCAATGATCTACTCCAACGCAACAATGAGGGCTTCACATTAGTACTGCCTTGATGACGCTTCATGATGATAACAGTAAATGAGACTGCAAAATTAATGATCACCGATAGAAGGACAATACCTCATGAAGGGATTGAACCTGGGACGGTAGATGGACATAACACCATCCATCCCATTGCACCAAATACTCCTCGACAAAAGATTCTCAAAAGCATCACCACCTCCCTTGCAAACCACTCAGAAATGACGTATACTAATGCGAACAACTATTACAGAGCCTCAAGCCCCTCTACGGCTGAGACTTTAGCAATTTCAACAACATGCAATGTTGAACAACATTTAAAAAGTATTATGGGTAAATTTACTCATACCACTCCTTCGCCACTTCATTCAACCCCGCCTCCCAATGTGTTCTCAGCAGAGTATGTCAAATAAAGAAAGCCGTCCTCGTCCTTATGAGCATCATAAAGCTCCGACATCATTGAACCTAGCACCTCAACACTTATCACATTTGCCTTCCTTCGACCACTCCTACCCGTTCGTGGTGTCTTCTTCTTCACAAAAAGGTAGATTGTCTGTTCCGCTGAGATCCCTTGGACACCTCGATGACCTTCCGAAGCGTTACTCTCCGCAGCTTGCGTGATATGCTTGTGCACTATATACCTGTGAACAATAAGGAAGCTCTTCGTGCGAGAAAAGTTGTATGCTGTGCTGATGAACTTCCCGCGGAGAAGCTTCGGGGTCGTTGAATAAACTGATTTCGATATTCACATACGATTCCAGAATTGCTTCTTACACGTATATTGCAGTTTCACCCGTTTTACGTGAAGTGGCGTGAAACTCGGCAAAAAACGCGATATTCGCGGTGCTATGCAGTAGTCGTGAAATTTGTTTTTCATATCACCAGGGTGAAAATCCAATATGATTGTAGAATCGATCCAGAACTGATCCAATGAACACGGGGTTCAAAAACGCTTCCAGAATTTGATCTTGATGTAAAACTCTTTCCTATGAGCCCTCTCGGAACTCAATAGAGTTCTAATGCTGCTGAAAAGCCACTTTATTGCTTTTCGCGGATCTTCACAATGTTGCTGTCGAAATGTATTATACACCTATTGGAGACCCCCCCCCTAGAAGACTCTATCTGTTTAAATTCAGAATCAATTCCAAGTGCGGCACGCGTAAAGGGGGTGCACTTGTTTTCCTACTTGAACTCTCCACACAGCATAGTCCCCGGGACGAGAAATTTCTTTTTCTCGATCTCAGGGAGGTCTGAACGTTCTGCCCTTTCCACGATCACTGGTACTCTGTCTGGATACCTGAGAAGAATAGGAAATCTTCCGAGTGCGCAAAGATACTCCTGAGAGACGAGGCCTCACTTCTGAAGGATACGGCGAGCCTCAGCTAGCCTGCGATCGAAAGGGATAGCATCTTGCATGGGGGAAGAGTTGGATGGCATTGGGGAAGTCTTGTTTAATATGTGCGGCTGCCGAAGAGTTCTATATTACCGCGCGCCACAAAATTACGCGCTCGCCCGAAAATGGTCGTATCATTTTTCTGATACGATGATCCATGAGTCTATACAGGTTCCTTCCCTGACTTTTTCTTCACGGTGAGTATCAGCTGCTTAGCGGCAGAAAAATATACTTCCCCTGTCGACTCACTCGTAGTGGGTGCTTGTACTTCCATGATCGTCTAAGCGTCATTTTCTCAATGGCGCCTCCTTCACCAGTAATTCAGCATGCTAAGCTTCCCTTGACAACGACCCCACCACTGTCTCAAACGGCGGCTTCTTCAGCCTCACGCCAACCGGGTAGGTCACCAGCCTCTGGCCGGCCTCTTATAGGGTCTTCTTAGTAGCTGCTCGAATGTGCGGTAAGAAGTGCGACCGAACGACTTGGCTTGCCGTTGAGGGAACAAGTGTTGCACCGAAGCCTATCGCTGTAAGAAAGTGGCGAGCAGTGTGGGGGGGAAATATATATGTTGGTGAAAAAAAAGAAAATTCTGACGGAATTTTTTGGAAAATTTTCTTTGGTTTCTTGTTGCACACTTCTATGCTAGTTCTATACTATGCTTCGGAAACTCCTGAGCTCAGTTGAGCAAACCAATAGAATTTCTAGAGGCTTAGCTTAAGGATCTCTCCGTTCGAGTATTGGATCTTTATAAGTTCTGTCGCCCCTACAGGTGGCCCGCTATTGCTATCCACTGCTAGCTAGATGCTTATTTTTGCTGCCATTTTGATTGTGTTTCTCAGTCGCCTAAGTCCAGCCCGGAGCCGCCAGATTTGCTGCCATACTTCAATGGCTTCCCTCATGAGTCCTCCACGTGGTGATGAACAACCATTTGAAAAACGTACAAAAAGTTGTCTAACATTCTGTTGCCTATATAGTCCGGGTGGTTCTAATTGGAGTTTAGTTGAGGCATTTACGGTATGCGGTGTGGATTCTTTTGTCATCATGAGTGCTGCCGCTACGACTTCGAACCCTCGAGAGCAGGCCATCAACAGTTATATTGCTAAAGTGAAGGAACATAGGGAATACGAGGCTAGATGCAAGAAACGTAATAGGGGGGAGAAGGAAGGCATAGGGTAGGTTGTGGTGAGCATTCAGTTCGAGAGCAAATCAAAGAGGTTGAGAATGACTTCGAGACATCTGAGGACCACCTCAAGGCTCTTCAGAGTGTCGGACAAATAGTAGGGGAGGTCCTCAAGCAGTTGGATGAGGAAAGGTAATAGCAGTAGTAGGAGGAAGAGAAATAGTGACAGTTCTGTAAAGTCAGCGTTGGAATTTGAGTGGAAAATATATGCGGACGTGGGTTATGGTTTTTTGTAGTCTCGGATAACGAGACCCTTCACTCACATGATATGCTAATCCGTTTGATACTGGAGTTAGCTTTTGCTGATTCCATTGTTAATTTTAGGTTCATC